CTCCCCCCCCTGCGCCGACCTACCCCTACCCCCCCATGATCTCCATATCGGTTTTTGCCTGCCCATACCCAACTGCCCCTTCGGAAGGGGTACCCAGCCCCACCCGTAACCTGGTGGTTACAGCTGTATACAGTTGGGTATGGGCAACGGTTACCCACTTGCCCTCTCTGCCGTACACCTACGGAGAGGGAGTTTTCCCTAAGTGTTGCAGGTGGTTGATGCCACCGTCCATATTCTGAGAGTGTCACGACAAGGTGCAGTAGGAGTTTTACTCTGGAGAGTGCTGAAGTGAGTGATAAACTTTGATGTGGATGCTCAAGCGGGTTAAGATTTGTCAGGGTATGTGTCTGTCTGTCTGTTTGTGTGTGAGCGGTGTCCGTGGGGAACGAGGTTGGATGGCCCAGTGTTCCATTATCCATCCAGCCTTCCCTACGACGGCTTAGGGTGAGCCCTCCCCCCTCACCCCCCCACCAACACACACACTCACACATTCAAATTCACAGTCACATCCACATTGTTTGTTTGTTCGTTTGTTTCTGTTTGGTCACTGTTTTCTGCGTGCTCTTTTCAGTGTCCAAGGACAGCACATTTTAGATGTTGAAATAGTCAGTGCCTGTTTGTTAGGCTTGCATGCAGCATTATCAGGGAGGCTGCTGTGTTCGTGATGCGTGTCTCTGCGTCTCTTGGTGGTGAACCTACAGTCGGCGAAGTTTGTGGCATCCCAGATCGTCTTGTGGCTTCCCAGCCTTTGACAGTGGAGTGAACCTACAGTCTGCAAAACTTTTCCGTATGTTGAGTGAGCAGGTGATAGTCTGCTTTGATCCTCGATGGATCCGTGGGTTGCTATCTTGTTGTTGCTCCTTGTGGTGTTGCTGTGTGCTGTGCTGGGTGCTGTGGCATACGGCCTGTATGCAACTTCGTATGTCTTCTTCGTCCTCTTTTTTTCCTTTCTTTTTGTGAGTGAAGCTTGAACAGCTCATCTAGTGATAGTAATCATTTAGATTGACAATTAACATGCATGTGCAATGTGGTGTTTTTTTTTTTCTTTTTTCGCCATCTTTTTTGCAGGTTTTGCTGCTCCCAACTGATCCTCTGGACTCCAGGAATATCATGCTTGAGGGTGAGTTTTGTAAGAGGTTCGGCACTAACCTGGATGTTCTATTTTTAGGTCACTTCCACTTTTTGTGTCTTTTCTGACTCAGTGTATTGGAATCCTGAGCGTTGCTGTATCGCTTTTTCTTTGCACTGAAATCACATCGTGATGATTGCGCGTGTTTTTGTGTTGTTTGTCCTTCTGCATTTTGCTTTTTTTTTCCTGTTTTTTTCTGTCTGTTTACTGGAAGCCCATGGCGTTGAAAACGGTGGCACATTGAAGCATCGTCCCGCTGCGGTTCGAAAACAAGTACACACGTTGGGCTGGACAAAAGAGCAAGGCGGGGGCGGGGACAGCTCATGTGGTTGAATGCTACCTGACAGCGTATAAGCAGGTCCTGAGCTGGAGTCCTGGTGGCATCACAACCAGCCACTCTGCCGATCAGCCCACATACTAACATTCGCTCCACATAGTCTACCCCTTCCACGGGGTGCCACCCACCACATATTAGTATTGCCTGGGCCACATTGTGCTGCCAGGCCCACATGTCAGGCATGCTTTTGTCTTCTTTGTGGGCGTGTCTGTGTTTACTTTTCATTTTTGTGGCTGTGTGTTACTACAGCCCACGTGGTACCGTCCAATCCCATGGTACCGCCCAGTCCACAAGGTATCGTCCAACCCACATAGTATCACACAGGCCATATAATGCCACCCGCCCCGCATGGTACCACCTACCTGTGCCTAGCACCGAGCTATGCCCGACGTTGGCCATGCGTCTTTGTAAGATTTTTCTTTTGTTGTGGCCATGTTTTTTCTTTTTCTTTTTCCCTGTGGCTGTGTGTGTGTTAGTTCGGTCCAGTCCACAAGGTGTGACCGCCCCGCATGTTACCACCCAGTATACATGCAGCTCATGGCACCGCCCAACCTGTGTCGTATTGCCCAGGCCACATAAAACCCTCCAACCCGTGTGTGGAGGAGGAGGACGTCTCGGAGGAAGATGCTGAGGAGGACGAGGAGTGTGCTGCTGGCGAAGCTGCAGTGGGCAACCACTTGTAATTATAGTGGAATAAAAAAAAAAAAAAATCAAACAACGGTGACGCTGCGTCAACACAAAATTACAATTCCTCACGTAATTTGGTGTAAATTCCTCACGTAATTTGGTGTAAAATCAGAGAATATGTTTCCTTCCTGATTCGTAGTAGCACATCGCTATCAGATTGGTTTTTCATAATCCACTGCATTACTCAGGACTTGCACAAATATTCCAGCTGCATGCACTCTGACTTTGTGGTGATTGGGGGGTGCTTGGATTGGAACAAGTATTTATTAATTTAATTTGACCTACTTTAATTTAATTTTACCTGTTTTTTTTTTTCACAGTCTTTTTTTGAATTTTAATATATATTTATTATTTTATTATTTTATACCTGGTTTTTTATTTTTTTTCATGATTAGTTGGAACAAGTATTCATTAGCAGTTGTGCATTAGTTGGATGAAAGTGTGGAAAGATCAAAACATTGATCGGCAGAACGATTGGTGCATCATGTAAGTGTTGATGCGTAGATGTCACATGGCTATCCGATCTGAATGATGCTCTGTTGGTTTGTGTGTGCAGTTCGCGCTGGAACTGGTGGCGATGAAGCCGGCATATGGGCAGGTGACCTTGTAAGCACTGAACTGAACGGGTTGTGTCTTGTTTCCCATTATCCGCATGTAATTGTCATATTGTCATCATGATATATCAAGCAAATATCTCCAACATTCTTGTGATTGACTGTGGCACAACTGGGGGTGGTGGGATCCAATGAATAAGGCGGGCCTGGAAAACTGCTGCGACTCATGGGCTAGCTAACACCAGGGAGAAGTAGAGAGAAAGTTGGAAGACGGTCTGTGGAAGGTATGAGATGGTCTGTAGGAGTCTCATTAGAGTTGGGAGGCTCAGATGGTCCTTACTGAAGTGTCCCTGAAGGCAGTTCTCAATGGTGAACCACAGACTCCTGGTGGGTCCCTGGAGAAATCCGGGCCTGTAAGAGGTGGTGGTCGTTATGTAGCGGCCTCCTCCTCCTCTTCTTCTTCTCCTTCTTCTTCTTCTTCTTCTTCCACCACCACATACACACCTGCAACAAGTCTCTGACATACCAGCAAGACAGTTTGGATTCACCTGCTTTGACCCCCTGTCAAATGCCAACATCCCCCCCCACGACCCCCCTGAACCACCATGTCCAACCCCCCACTGAAACCCC